CCACGAAACTTTTCAGTAACTCAACATACACCTTTTTGGTGGACCAGGTCAAAGACAGGTGCAGGTCCCATTCAGATGGAAAATACAGACATATTATTATCTGTAATAATAAGAGGAGTCAAACAAAGTTTCAAAAGGTTTTAGTAGTTTTTCTAGAGCTGCCAGCAGACGTCAGACTCTTATTCCCAACAGGGCTCGATTTATCTCTCAACCCCGGATGAAAAGAAAGTTTGTGCCACCTGCAAATCCATCCGTCTCTCTGTATCGCTGCCTCCTCCACGAGGAGGACGCACGCGCGTGTACAGACATGCAGACACACCAACGGGCTTCTCAAGGCTTTCTGCAAATTCTCATTCCCCTTTTTCTCACACACACACACACACACACTTTTCTAAAGGTTTGAGGAGCCCTCACTTTCCACGCCGTGTGAGGAAGAATCCATTTGAAAATGTTAGCCTGGTGGATTGAGACAGCGGCACTGACCTGGGCGGCTACGTTGAAGTCGCCCCCCTGCGGCTCCGCCGTGACGCTGGTCAGCGGGGGGCCGTCGCCGGGCTCCGCCTTGATGGCTTTGTCCGGGACGCCGTTGTCGTCCCTGTCCAGCAGATAGCGCAGCAGCGCGTTGTCCTTCTTCTTCGGGCTCCCCGGCTCCTGCTTCACGAAGAGCTCGCCCAGAGAGGCCATGTTGTCCCCCGAGGCCGACTCGGGACCCGCGGGGTCCTTTCCCGTGGCCTCCGCCGTCAGCTTGGCCAACTCCACGGGCGAGGCGCCGTTCTGCAGCAGCTTGTGGAGAATTTTGTGTTTCTCCTTGAGCGAGGTGGGGTGGTTGTTGTGCCCCGAGCCGCCGACCCCGCCCGGCTGGTCCTTGCAGGTCTGCTCGTCCTCCGGTGAGGGGGACGAGCAGGGATCGGCGGACTCCGATTTCGTGGTGAGGAGCTGCAGCAGCTTCGTGTGGCCCTTCGTGTTCAGGAGGCAATTAGGGGCGTCGCCCGTTTCCCGTACGCCATCCGTCTCCTGATCTGCGTCCTGGTTTGGGGACACCAAGCCTTGCTGCTGCCCAAATGTTCCCAACAGGTCGGCCTCCAAGCTGGAATTGTTCTCTTCGTCGGGCCCCTCGGCGACTCCCCGGGAAACCCTGTGGCCCTGGCTGAGGGCCTGCAACGCGCTCAGGGAGCTGAACTCGTGGCTGTTTCTCGTGCTGCTGCACACGGATGTTGGCGAGTGGAGTCTCGGCAGCAGAGAGAAAGAACCCGGGGCGTGTTGCGGGTGGGGGCTGTTACAGCTGCTGCTGGTCGCCATGCTGGGGCTGTGGCGATGGCCAGGAGACAGCATGGCGACCAGGGCTCCGACGTGACGCCGGGCCTCCCTGGGCCGAGGGCTGCCCAGCTTGAGCCGCTTGGGGTGTGGGCGCCCGACCCGACACGCTCACAAAACCGTGGTGCGTGTTGCTGGTCACGCTGGCCTCGGGGGAAGGGGAGGGGCCACTCACGCCGGTTGGTGTCATCGGCTTGGCCGGACTCTGACCGCCTGGCACGTCTGCGCTCATGTTCTCCCTGTGAAGACAAAACAGATGGAAGAATCAGACCTGCTGCAGGGGAGTGCACGTTGTCTTAAAGCTGCATTCTGTGTAGTGTCCAGCAGGGGGCGACTGCTCTGCTCCCATACACGTCAATGAGGAAATGACTCCTGACTTATTCCCTCAGTAAGTAGACATTACATGTCATTTAGCTGACGCTTTTATCCAGAGCGACTTACAATAAGTGCATTTCAACCACCAAGTAGACCACAAAGCAGGGGATGCTTCAGGGCGGGGCTTACTGTGATTGACGCGCCTTCCATGGCGCTATTGAGTTCGTCCCGAGTCTAAGTAACGCGGAGGAGGTTTTTTCTTCGTTTGGGTAGAAAAACGCGCCACCCCCCTCAGGTAGAGCCGAGAGCAGCTCGGACACACTGAACACAACAAGGCCTAAAGCTTTAAACAAGGACACACACACACACACACACACACACACACACACACACACACACACACACACACAGACGCAGCGATAGTTTCCAACGAGCAACATGTGGAAGTAAAAAAAAAAAAAAGGCAGAGTGGTCGCTATTGACGCCCCAAAGTAACCGGGTAACAGCCCTGGCATTGTTTCCAGAAGGCTGTCCACTCCCGACTCTGAATGCTCCGAGTGGGGGAGGGGGCTAGTGGGGGGGGGGGGGGTCACTGTGTGCCGGACTGGCTGGTCCTGCTTCTGTCAGCTTGTTTCTATACGTAAGGCGGCGTTTGTGAAGAAGAGGCTCTTTGTCCCCGACCCGCTTTGTCCAATCAAGAGAGGAAACGCTGAGACAGAACATGTGATGGACACACAAGGGCCGTGGACAAAACATATGTAAACGTATCTCTGGACACGCGTGTATTTACCTCTGCAGGATGTGCAGGGACATGTAGAGCTGCGGTTCGCTGGTGGCCGCGGATCGGATCAGCTTGCTCTTGGTGTGAGCCGACACCGCCGTGCCGTCGGCCAGGGAGAACCTGTACAGGGGGCTGAGGGCCTGGCCGCGTCTCTCAACACTGCGGGGTCGGGGGGGTGTGGGGGGGGTCACACTTTAACACAATAACATGTACTCATTCATGCCCGCAAAAGAATGTACAGGGGCACAAGTAAACAACGATTTCTAGATGCTATGAGAAGAAGGAGGTCAGCCACTAATGCGAGGATCATTATCCTGCATCGGTCCCCCCACCCCACCCGGGTGGGGGGCTCTTGACTCGTCTCGCTCACCGTCCTGCTGGTGTTTCTTAGCGAAGGACATCTCCCCTTCATTCTGCAGGTGAAACCTCTTGATGCAGCGCCGCACCAGGTCCTCCCAGCCCGGCTTCATGGAGGCCCGGAGCAGGCTGGTGTCCAGCGACGTGATCTTACCTGTGGGGGAGGGGGGGGAAGAGAGGACGTTCACCCGTTAGCCGCCACGCTTTCCCGCCTCGGCAGGAACGGCGCACCGGTGGATCGCGGGATGGAAGCTCGCGGTGCGGCCCTACCTTGAAGGTCCTGCCGCGTGGTGAAGCTCTCGTAGGCGGGCGTCACGGGCCTCTCTTTGACGGGGACTCTTCTCGCCACGCAGATGAGGCACGACTGGAAATCTGCAGGATTTGGAAAAAAGGGGGCTTAAAAGGGGCTCCCCCGCTGAAACCTTCCCAACGCGATGGGACGCAACAGGAGGAGGAAGTGGATTCAATCCCTCGTTCTCACAGATATCCCTCGACCACACTTACACATCGATCCCAATCTAACTCAGCCCGAACCTCAATCTCAACCCGCGCCCTCAATCTGTCCACCAGACCCCCCCCCCCTCACACCCCCTCCTCCTTGGCGGGAGGAGATTAGCACCATATCTGGTTGTCAGACATCTAAAATTAGCGTGCCGGGCGCCGTTTTAAGTGCGATAAGATGAGATGGGGAGCTGACAAAGTGCCACGCGCTAATTAGGAACAGCGGAGAGGAGAAGTGATGGAAGGAGGACAGGACACCAGAGACTTCTGGGGAAGGAGAAAAAGACGGTGACAGGAAGTGGAGACGGAGATGGAAAGACGGCGAAAAGGAGAGAAAAAAGGGTGTTTGAGCGGACGACTTGGAATCGCAAACAAACATGAATGTGTACTAAATGTGGACTGCTCGCTCAAGCTGACTCGACACGATGAGCGCGTTTCCTCCGTGCATCATATACGTCCACGTTGCACTCGCTCTCCTTTGTAATAATGTCATCCAACCGGGGAATATTTTAAACGTCTTCTTTGTTGTTCTTTGTAGCTGCTAATGTGCAACACAGAAATCCATGTCCTATGCAGTCCACTCGGTTCTACATCATAATTAGTGTAATTAGTACGCAATTTGCGAACACGGCCCGAGAAGCAGATGGGCCGATAACAAAAGAGGGGCCAGAGAGAGAGAACAATAAAACGAGCAAAGAGGAGAATGGAAGACACGAGCAATCTGAATGACAAAGAAAGAGAGAAATTGAATTAAAAAAAGAAAGCAAGAAAATCAAATGGATCTTGATCCTTGAAATAAATACTGACAAACGTGACGGGAAACAGGGAACATGAGAGAGAGAGACGGCACCTTCGCCCTCCTCCCGGATGGACTTGGGCTCCGACACGGCGAAGCACTGCAGAGTCTCGTACTTCTGCGGCGCGGCGCCCTGCGGGTCGGAGGCCCGAGGGTCCACCAGCATGCGGCAGGTGAAGGTGTGGCTGTTCCTGTTGGACGAGTCGCCGCCGCGATGATTCACTGGAGGATTTAAAGAAAACAAAAAACGAGGTGTCTCACCAAAATGTTTACAATGTCCATCCACACTTTGTTTACAACAGTCACAAACAAGATGGAGGGAGACAGGAAGCGTCTCAGTGCGCGGCGCTGGAGAATGAGAGGGCGCCGTTCTCACCCAGGCTCTTGGGCAGAAGGTTCTTGACGAACTCGGCGTGATCGCCGACGTGCAGCACGCTGTAGACGCTGGTGTTCATCAGCTCCTCCTGCTGGCAGCGCAGGTACTGGCTGACGTTCTCCGAGACGAACACGATGTTGCCCTCCACGTTGACCACGAAGAAGAAGCCGTCCAGGGCCTGGGGAGGGAGAGAAACAGATGAGGTAAAAAGGAAAGCCCAGGGGAGATTAAGTGTTAATTAAAGTCGGTCTGAACCTTCAACCCAAAGCTAATTAGAATAGATTAATAGAAATGAAGGTGGCGGTAGAAGAGTAATTATCTGCTATAAATACATTAAACACAACTCAAACTTTTAAACATTTACATTTTCCCCTTCACGTTTTTATTTCTAGAGGGATCTTCTGATGTTTCCCACCGGGGAACCCAACAGTCTTCTTTCAGGTGCAGATGCAACATTTTAGGTTACGTGTGCCTCACATTGTGAGCTTGTTTCAAGCTGTTAAAATAAAAGCAGAGCTTCTTAATCACATAAGAAACAAACAACAGGCAGCAACACGCAGCGTGCCGTTATGATTAAAGTAGAAGAAGAACTTCCATTCCCGTCAACTCTGCATTTTCCACTTGTATGTACTGTGATTGGTCCTTCAGCCTGTTAACGTGTCTACACAAGCCTCCTGCCGCAGGTCGGCCCAACGCCGTGGAATAGAATCGAATAGGATGCCATGTATCTCCAAGCAGACACCTCGGCCAACATGAAAGCTGGTCAAAGCTATTTATACTCTGTGTGTGTGTGTGTGTTCAGGCTCAGCCCCTCCTTTGCTAATCTGGCTTTTCAGCGAGGTATTTATACCTTGTTGGGTCGCATGCTATACGTCACCACACGCGCACACAAACACACACTTGATTGATTGACTGGTCGGTCGGGCCTGGTGCCACGCTTCCGTGTCCCTTTTGGTCTTTGAACTCGGGGGCGGACTGACACTTGGCTGAACCCACCTCCAGCATCATGGGTCCGAGGGCGTCTTTATCGATGACCCCCGGTCCTGAGGAGGAGACGTCGGCTTTCTGCACCTCCTCAGCATCGGCCACTGGAGCCTTTTCTGGAAGAAAACAGACAAGAACGATAAACGGTTGTTTTGGGTTTTAAGACTTTTGTGAAAATCCAGAATAGAGAATCTAAGGATGATGATCTGTTAGTGTTTGTAATTTGATGATGTGGGCAAATAGCATATCAAAAGTTATCTGAGTGAACCACACAGTGCGTTCAAGATGAAGGCTTTTTCTCTCAAACTCTTTCACTAATTAAAAAGAAAATCCACCCACGTGACGAAGCACAGCCAGACCCAGAGGTTTGAGTGGCAGGTTTGCCATCGCTCACACACACGCATACGCACACACACACACACACCCCATATAAGAGGCCGGTTTGTACCACCGGACCGTTAAGCCTCCCGCGGCCCCATCAGGCCACATAGCTGACATTCCTGTTGTGGGACCTCACAGCCCGTCACGGCAGCAGCCTCCTGCAGGATGGAGGTATGCAGCGCGCACTGTGTTACTTAAATCAATAAATACGATGGAGGCAAGTAGAACAAACGAGTTGCACGCGCAGCATCGCAGTGGCAGATTTGGCAGATGATGTGGCAGATTTTGGCTTCTATATGTTCACAGCTGAAGCGACTTCATAACAAGTAAGATGATCGGAAAACAAGTCGCCTATAGAAGGCTTATTCTTTTACTTTGTACCCTTATACGTCCCAAAGACACTTGTGTTTTCTTCGTAGGCCGCGGATTGTGTGGACGTTGTCATGGTGACGTCACCCCGTCGGTCGGTGCACCAACGCCTCGAGGAGCGAAGTAGGGACGGGCGCTCCGGTATTGACCTGTCAATCACAGTAGCCCCGCCCACGCACGCACTCCACATCTACGCTATGAGCCTGCAGTCGAACCTGGGAGCCAAACTAATAACCCCCAAGGATGCAGAACACCGTTTGAAATTGTCTATCTGTGTGTGTTGTAACGCAAGGTGACCTTTCCGCTGCACAAACGGAAAGCTGGTGATTCCTGTCATCTATTATTTATCACATTGCAGCGTTTTCTTCCATCGCGATCGTTACGTCTCTGGGACTCGGGTTCGCCATCGACTCACTCTGCGTCACGTCCGCGGCGCGAGACACAGCTGTGTGACTTGTGTGTCATCTGCGCGAGCGCGTGTGCTTATTCAGCTGTTGTTTTCAGACGCAAACACGCGGACACCAACTGGCTGACCGCTGGGACGAAGGGGAGGGAGGGCGATGGAGAGACGGGAGGAAAGAGTAATAAGAAAAGGAGAGAAGGAAAATACATGAGGAAAAGAGGAGATGTAAGGAAAGGAGACGTCAAAGGGGATTGAGGAGGGATGTGAGCTGGACAGGAAAGGAAAGTAGAAGGATGGATGTGGAGTGACAAAAGATGGACCGGAACAGTGAGGAGAGAAAACAAAGGAAAAAAGAATGGAAATGGAAAAAAAAGATTTGAGGAAGGCTGAGAAAGGGACCAGAAGAGTGAAATAGAGAAGGAAAAAGGATAATAGAGAACGGGGAAGGAAAGGACCGATATTGATGAGGACGGATCGATGGGAAACGAGAAAGAGGAAAGAGGAGAGACGACAGGCAAACGAGGAAAGGACACAGGAGGTAGAGCCCTGAGAAGTCCTCTCTGCTACATAGGTCCCCGGTGGCCTCCTCACCCTGCTCCTTGATCTGCCGGATCTGCTTCACCGTCTCCTTGAGGATGGCGCACTTGTCCGGCTTGACGTTCAGGTCGTCCATGTCGTTGATGTTGGCGAAGATCAGCTCGGCCAGCTCCTCGATGTACTTGTTCTCCTGCTCCCGGTTCCTCCGCTCGGTGCTCCTCTTAGGGCTGTGAGAGTGGGAGGGGGAGGTGGGGGGGGGGAGTGGATGAGGTAATTTGGCCCCCTCTTTGTTTTTCTATAGAACTCGTCTCCATGCGTCGGGCTGAAAACGTTACCCATAAGTCCTCACCTGGGCCCCAGCAGGAGGTCCGACGGACCGTCCTTCCTCTTCAGAGACTCTCCCCCTCTGGGGGGCTCCGGGGTGTTCCCCCCCCCGCTACTCATCTTCAGCAAATATCAGCACCTGCAGAGAGAGGAGGTGATGAGTCAGTTACTGTTTTCCGACTTATCGGCGGGTTGAAAAGGGGGAGACGTCTCCTCTGCGCCACATAATCAACGCGCCCAAGACGCGCGCGGCCAAACAAAAGCACCCGTGAGCTGGTGGGCCGGGCGCCGCGCGGCGGGCCGGTGCGTGGGCGGCCCGGTGGGAAAACAGCCGGTCAGGATAATTACCCTCAGTTAGAAAACAGCTAATTCACGGAGGCCTCCGCATTGTTCCTACGCAAACAGTTCTGGCAGTTTTAGAGGGCGGCGTTTCTGTCCTGAAAAATATCACAGGCGGAAAAGTGCAGCTAGGTGGAAAAACACATATTGGCAGGGCCGAGTTGCACCATATGGTCGCCGCGTGCTGCTGAGACCTTTCCGGCAAACAGCGACGACGGAGCCGGAAAGGTCTGGGTTTGGGCCGGGCGCCGCGAGAGGAAGCCGCTCTCAGCTTTTCAGCCGGTCCCACCATCAGCTGTTGGAAGCCATGTTGGTAAATGGCTCAACAACAACGTTTGGAGGTGGTCGCCAGGCGAGGACACGTCCAGTTACCTCACACTAATATCAAGAGTAAGACAATAACGGCGTCGTTTTTCCTTCAGGTTCATCCGAATGGTGCCAAAGGCCAAGAATTTGGCTGCGAATTTCTGATAATGGTTGCTAACGGCAACCTGTCCGGCTGATCCTCGCGATTGGCTGAGAATGTTTGGAGGGGAAAGCGTTTAATAACACATTTTTCATTTTCAGGTTCGGTCACACGCTCAGTGTTTCCCTCGGAAAGAAGCACATTGACTGTCTGTACGCAGCAGCAGACTCAAAACGCAACAACACAACTAAAATGACGTAAATGTATGAGAACACGCCGCCAACAAAAATAATTAAATTTAAAAAACACCGGCAAATTACAACGACTCGCCGAAACCGTTTGGTAGAGCCAATCGGATAGAAATCTCCGGTCAGTTTTAATGATTTGGATTTTTTCTCCACTAAGCGGGTTTGTAGATGTTTAGGAAAAGACAGATTATCTGCTAACGAGATCACAAAGCGAAACAGCACAGATCGCACACAGACACACAAAGATGATGGGGGGGGGGGGCAGCGTGTCCGTCAGGACGCTGGTCCTTTAAGGCCGGCCGTCACCTGACTGTTACATAACAAGCGGCCTGTGGGGCTGACACCCAGCAGATGAAGGCAGGGGGGAGGGATGAGGGGGAGAGGAAAAACAACAGGGAGGGAGAGAGAGAGAGAAACAATAGATCCAAAGAGGTCAAGTGGAAGGGAGAAGAATCAGATGAACACTACGTTTATTGGTGCGTGCGTAGAGGCATCAGCTCGGGACGAGGGAAGACTAATTACAGTCCAGGTGGACTTTAATGTTCACTGGTTAACCTCAACCGGTCTGCCTGGGAGGGGCACCGTCAGACAGCTGTTAGCCAGGCTAGCAGAGTTAGCATAGTAAGCCATGTCTGTTCCTCAACACACCACGTTGGTTCAGGAGTCAGATGTTAATCATTTATTATTTCAGGGAAATACCTCACAGATCTGCTGGAAGACGTTCGCGGTTGCCGGCTGACGGACGGATGTACGGAGTTTGGAGAACAAACAATCTCCTCAGAAAAAGTTCAGAAACGTTCAGAACGTGCCGCCATGGAGATGATGACGTGACATCGTCATCGCGATGAGCCCAACTGGGTGACCTCAGAAGTTGATGAAAGCCTGGGTGAATGTCTCAGTCCGTCTCACACACACAGACACACACACGGCGAAACAACACTAATGTGGCCTGTTCAGCACTAATGTGATCAGAGAGCTCCACAAAGTGCAGCCATTTGAAAACAATTTGAGTGGGAGACAGACGGGGCCACAGGGTCCAACCGGCCATTGAGGAATTACAGCCGGGCGATCGATGAGGCCGACTGGTTTCCAATAGCAACCGTCGCTGTTTAGAGCAGGGTGGGGGGGTGACTGGACGACCACCAGCGGCGGAGCGAGGCATCAACAGGTGGGTTTCTCCAGTCACTTCACTCGTCGCCGTTGGTTTTAAGGAACGATTGCGTCACAGATGAACGGTGTTTGTGGTGGAAACACTGTCACCAATTATCTGTAATAACATAGAATCAGCCAGACAGATCATTTCAGTTCTTTAGACCAGACAGCGACCTGCCGACCTGCTGATCGGAGCTGATGCCCTGTGAGTTAAAGCGGCATTCTGTCCGGCCCCGTACGTACAGTACACACGGCACAGTCACGTAATCAGGAGGGTTTTCTATTCACGTCGGATAAAGGACGTGTAACTCAAACAGAGAGCAGCTTCCAGCCTTCGGGCTGCTCTCCCACACCTCCTACTGTTATGTGATCATTTGCTTACAAACTGAAAGATTTCCAAACATGGACATTCAAAAGAGTCCCATATCACACCGACTGACACATCTCCCTTCTAGCTGCCCGGAATGCTACAGGTGACGGGGTGTTGTGTTACAGCCGGGTGGGGGTCAGGTGGGAAGACGGGGATGGAAATAAAGGCGTAGGAGTGAGTGGGAGTGGCGGTTTGATGAATGGCCCACAGAGCGCCGGGTGGAAGGAGGTCTGCGGAGAAGATACGATCTGGAAGCGGGAGAGATGCAACAAGCCCCGTTGTCAAGGAAGTAAAGCGCGTTGTTGCGCTGATGACTCATCGCTTGGCTCGCGGAATGATTGAGGTTTTTCGAGCACGTGACGAAGGAGGACGCTGATCACGCAGTCTTATGTAATGACTGACAGCACACACGCCGAGCATAGCGGGGAGAAGAACCCTTCTTCAGCAGCCGCCGCCACGAACAAAACACGGGATTGCTGCTCGGCTCGACGTCGCCGGTCGACTTCTAGGTCAGGTCGTCCTAATTAGCATATCGCTGCGGCAGAAAGAATGGGTTTGGTGAGGTCACGGCGACCTTTTGACCGGATTCCCCCTTCAGTGAATTCTGGAATCCGAGTGGACGTGAAGACATTCCACCGAGGCATCAAAACGCGACGCCGGGAACGCGAACGAGGCGAGAAGAGGCCGAGCGGAGGCTGCTCCCCGAACGCACATCCGTGTCTGACATCTGAAGCTCCGTCGTCACGACAACCAAGCGCTCGTCCCCCGATCTCCACGCGGCGGGCCGCAGCGCTCTCTCATTTTTACATCCTTTTTTTATTATTTTGGCGGGATGGAGAGCAAACGCCTGTGTGTGTGTTGAGAAAACACACACACACACGCGAGCTGGACACACTGACCCACTTCAGCCAATAGTCTTTATTGGTAAAGCAGACGCCCCCACCCACACCCCACCCTAACCCCACCCCGGTCTCTACAAACAGCACAACGTTTTTAATGCTGCTTGTCCTTACTTTGTTTTGTTTTTTAATCTTGTGGTTAATATTGACTCCGTTAGCAGCCACAGCTACATGGGCACCGCGTTACGCCACCATGATGCATATGATCAGGAGGCACTTCACTACGGAGTCGCCCAGCAGGAGCAGGACGAGAAGAGCAGACGCAGACGCTGTGCGATTCAAAGAATGAAACCGGTATTCACACGTGCTGCTCGTCACGCCGCATGTCAGGAGGAAGCCCGATCGATTGTGGGCCGCAATCAATGACATCGAACATGCCGGCCTGGATGCTAACTCAGTTAAGAGCGCGCACGCACATACACACACACACACACACACACACACATAGCAACAAAAGCAATTAGCCCCTGTGCACATTAAGGCCAGCAGTCGCTCTATTCTGCGAGAGATGGAGAGAGAGACAGAAAGAGACAGACAGAGAAAGACAGTGAGACAGACAGGGGACAGGGGACAGATAGGGGAAGCATCAGGGACAGATAGAGACAGAAGGGGACAGGGGTCTCTCTGTTTGCTCCATGCAGCCTTCAGCAGGGGCCCGATGTGGACCCGACCCCCCCCCCCCCCCCACCGGGGAGGGTTTTCAGCTTTTTACTTCTACAGCAGCGTGAGCTCACAAATGAAGTGGAACGGTTTGATCGACGGACACTTTAAAGACATTAAGACGCTCACCCGCAGAACTGAAGCCACGTTTACTTCACGTCCCCGTCTGGACATTTAGCTAATTAAACTTTACTCCCAAACCACCTGACGCCATGTTCAGCAGATTAAATCCACGCATATGACGAGGGTCAAAAACGAAACCACCCCCCCCCCCTCCTCCACCTCCGGAGTGCCCACATAGTTCACGCCGGCCTGCCGAGGTCAAACTCCACCGTAGGCTCCGCCCACCGGCTTTATCTGCGCTCGTGCGGCAGAGTGTGAAAGAGTGAAAATTAGCATACAGTCACAGCTGAGTGAACGCGAGGCGGAACATTCTGGATCCTCCTCATCAGGAACGTGTGCGAGGATCACTGAAACAACAACAACAAGGAAGCCAGCAGAGACAACAGTTGTTGGTTGACACCTCAGGTGACTGACGGAGCAGGCCTGTGCTGACTGTGTGTGTGTGTGTGTGTGTGTGTGTGTGTGTGTGAAAGACACACATAACCACCTCTCTCTCATACACACAGTCAAAACCACATAATACATGACAGCTCAAAGTCCACGTCTGACTGCCGTGAGCATCACAACGCGTTTTGTTAATAAATAAATAGACGGAACAACGGCGGTTTATGACTACAAGGCGAAAATTCCGTTCTGTGGTTTCAAATGTTCAAACAAACAAAATCGCAACCTGAGAGCGGAGAGGTGGTCTCTTACCTGAGCTCCTGAGGGAACCCGTCCACAACCAGCGCCGAGCCGGCCCACCGTCCCATGCCGGCCGGCTCTCTAACACACACACACACACACACACACACGGTCAACACAGCAGAGCACGACACACACACACACGCCACTCAAGCACACACACACTCGCTTTGCATTTCCCCTATTTTCGCTTTGTGTGTGCGTGTTTCATCTGCGCCTAATGACAGCTGACACACTAAATGCCACAAATCCTCTCTCTCTCTCTCTCTCCCTCTCTCTGTGTGTGTGTGTGTGTGTCATGCAGACACACATACTCCTCCCACCACACACACTCGCACACTCCTCCTTCCTATTAGCCAATGTGCAGAAAAAGAAAACCTCCCTCCAGACTCTGAATGATTTACACGACCTTCTGTTCTTAAATGTTCGACTTCTTGTACACATTTTGTTATTGCAAAAGAGCGCCTCATATTTATTATTGATTACACTCCAATACTAATAGTTCCGTGCTGGAAGCTGCTCTCTGTGCGAGTTACACAACCTCAGCATGGGGCCCTTTTCAACCCAAAATGAATAAAAAACCCTCCTGATTATGTTACAGAGACTTATTGTGAACTCAATAATCGTGTATGTGTTGCGTATTTGGACTGACGGGGGATGCAGACACGCCCACTAAGGCTCTGTCAATCACAGCAAGCCCCGCCCTAAAGCATCCCCTGCTGTATGGTCTGTCTGTTTGGTCTGAGAAGGCTATTACTTTGGTCGCATAATAAGCACTCGTCACTGTGTGGATAATGGGCTTTGCTCTAAGTGAGAAAACACAAGTGAAAGTGTGTGAGAGAGAGAGAGAGAGAGAGAGCGCGAGAGAGAGAGAGAGAGAGAGAGAGGTCATTTTAAAAAATGACAAAGGCTGGAAGCGCTGGTGAAAGCAGCTGTGCTTCACAGGGCTGCACACACACAAACACACAAACACACGGGCTGTACACACTGACCCACTTCAGGCAATTGTCATTATTGGCAAACCAGCCACCCCCACCCTAACCCCACCCCCACCCGTCCCGGTCTCTGCAAATACAGCACAAGTCAACGTTTTAAAGATGACACTAACACACACACACACACACACACACGCGCACACCGTTTCCCAGGTTGACATGGCAGGATGTTCCCTGTTTGCTGTTCCAAAGCTCCTCTGCTCTTCCCTCATTTTAACATTCAACAGGTGGATGCGGTGCAGCAGCACCGTCAATGCCAGTGTCATCAACGATACGGAGAGACGTTTAAACTCACCAGCAGCAAATACATCACGTGTTTCAAATCAAGCCAACTGTGTTCTTGTTTCAAAAAACATAAATGCCTTTTTTTTTATCGTCTTTGAGGTGATATTTTAAAAAAAGTCTGAAAAACATGATCATACTTATATGAGCCCGCTCGCCTCAAATGCAAAGCATCCTGGGTAATAATTCATCATCATTCAGTCCTCTCTGTAAGACATAAGACGTAAAAGGACATAAAAGGAGCAATTTGTGTTCTTCACTTCTAAAGAGGACTTTTGAAAAGGAAAGAACTGGTGTTCATCTGAGAATCAGCAGAATAAGCGGCTTCTTCAAGTCGGAGGAAAGAGTAAACAACAACAACAACAACAACGAGGGATTATTAATGTGTGTTTATCCATCATGTTAAAGCCGTGAAACACATCCAACCACTATTGAAACATGTGTTCACACTTGGTACCTCGTCAGGTTGTAGTTTGGGGTAAAACAAGAATCTCCCTCCCCATTCTACCCCCACCCACTGGTTTCACTGGGAGTCCCGCCCACAATAACACGAGGAGCCCGCTGCGTTTCCCAGACGACCGACCCTGCCCGGGAGGACGACCTCGAGGGCTCCGGGGGGTCACCGAGTTCCCGCGTGACTTCTGGGTTCACGTTCTCCGTGTTGAGCCGAGGCCCGACGCCCACCCGCAAGTGCTATGGAATGGCACTGTGGAGAAGCGCTTCGCGGGCCCGTTGAACGCTTCCTCCAGTGGGGGTGAGGCACAACGAAACTAATAACGGCATCGTTTTTCCTTCAGGTTCATCCAAATGGTCTGTAGCCCTTATTGTTGACGACGAAGGAGTCGCCTCGCCGGGTCGCCCCGCCCTCCTTTAAGTAAGCGGGTAACGACTCATCGAATTCAGCGAGGAGAACGCGGCACGCCGGTGAATCACGTCCTCGCTCCCCACCTCATGTGGCCGACGCGTTTCGTGAGGCAAAAGGTCGGTCTGACTTTGACCCCCCCCCAGGCCCCGTCTTGTTGCTATTCGTTGCTGGTTCGTGAGCTTCGGGGGGGTGAAATCTGTGTCTTGAAATCTGGTGATATTTGTGAAAGTGTAAAACCAAAGAACGCGCGCTGTGGAGCAACACGCCGTGTTTAGTTATGGGCAGATTGCACAATAAGGGGCCGCAACATGTGTGTGTGTTAAACGTTACTGTCATCTAGATGACCAAATGAAAAGTAGATAAAGAAGAAGTGAGTTACTTTTGGCCAGCGGCCAGACCGGAGACATCTGCTAACCCTTCCCCCCTAGTGTGCGTGTCTGTTGTTGTTATTAAATGCATGCGTCGGTTCTACATGTGCGTGCACCTGCCGCCACCACTGGAGATAGATGCATGTGTGTGTGTGTGTGTGTGTGTGTAGGACGGATGGACAGCTGATCTGCAACCGCTTGCTTTGTGAATTGCACACGCCCGTGCACAGCCTGCGGATGTTTCGTCTCTGCGAGGAAGGGGGCATGTGCTTAAAGCTGCTTACAGGTTATTTTGATTCCTGCAGGAAGACCTGTCGGCGAGGAACGCTCAGAATATTGTACTGAAGATAGAGAGTTAAGGATAAAAAATGATATGGGGTGGGGCAAATAACTCGCCGGAGGAACAGCAATTAAGTGCCCTCCCCCCCCGGTACGCAGTGTATTTCCAAGTCATTATCGTGGGTCTTTTTGTAATACATTTCAGTTCCCCCGAGCCGGAAGGCGGCGGAACCCTGGCCTGTCAGCAGCCAACCCGTTGCCATGGGGACCATGCAGGCGTCTGGGCTGACCGATCAAAGCTTTTCCGAGCCGCTCGATGTGCAGCTGAGAAGCTAAGTGACGTTAGCGGAGCACACCGAGGGGCTCGTTGGGCAGACGAGACCAAAAACGTATAGAATATGAATTTCAATCCATTTGGATTTCTCTGAAAGGAAAAGCACGAGACGTTTTCTTCACGGCAGAGGTGTGTGTGATGTGGCACAAAAACATGGAATTTAATGTCAGTTATTCATCCAAATTAAATTGATGTTAAAAATATGTTCAAATACATATTATTATTTTGATAAATAAACAGTGGACTTGCTTTTATTCTTAAACACGGACGCACAAATTAACACTTACTAACTTAAACCCCTCACATATAGTTCTGTGAGGGAGTGAGTTTCACTTTTAATTTTTTGCATATTGTGGTAGAGTGATCACACGCATGCACGCACACCAAGAGAAGGAAGGAACAACAGAGCCCCCAGAAAGTCACTGAGGGACGGCCTACTTCCTGGCTGTGAATAACTGGTAATTTACTAACTGAACATCACGCTGTGCTGAAGAAGACTTGGAACTAGAGGTTGAGACCATAAACTCATGTTTACAATGTTTACTGAGGGAATAAATCAAGAGGGAAGTAGCGTCATCTTCTCATAGACGTCTATGGGACCAGAGGAGTCGCCCCCTGCTGGTCAGGAAAGATAATTCAGGTCTTATGACAAAGCAGCAGCCTCACTGGGCGTATCGCGTGTAAAACGTCGACCCTCGGAAGGCCTTCCATTCCGAAAACAAACAAACCAGACACGAATTGGACCGTACAATTTTTAAAACAACGTCTCGTGACCTGAGGTGGGACCAATGTCCCCGTCCCCTGGTGAAGGTCACGCGTCAGCCTGTCGGTTCAACCAATCACCTCACTTGATTCAGACTTGACTCCGCCTCCTTAATGACGTCAATAAACGTAATTCGGAGAATAAATATGCTGGAAGGCAGCTTTTATTTATTTTTTTACACCCGTGCTCTGTCCTCAAACGCCTCAGAGCAACCCCCCCCCCCACCGAACACAGATGTCAAATCCAAAACACAACAAACAGGCTTGCATCAGGCTCGTGGCTGCATGAATATTTTCCAATTCAATAACATGAAAGCATGAAACACCAATAACTGTTACAGGTGGTTCTGACCACAGAGGCAAGATGTGAGTATCAGGGTATCACAACTAAACCGTGACCTTTGCCTGCGATGAGCAGAAATACACTCTGTTAGCGGCGGCGTCCTGTTGCCACAGAGCGGCGATGAGCGCCACGGTCGGCCGTGTCCTCGGCCCGCGTTTGTTCTGCACAAGCTTGTTATCTTATTAGCTTGTATTATCCAGGCCGTCTCTTTAACTCGGCTCTGTAGACTCGCTGCTGGAGAATTACAGCGCCGGCTAACCAAATTAGCGCTTTGTTACGCAACCCACTGCACTCAACTACCCCCCCCACGCCCAACCCCCTCCCTGGTCTGGTGCCTCGGGCTCTCAGCACAGTGTGTGTGCACACAGGAAGGATCGTACCATTGGTCAGTAGTGACGGGGCACCAAACAGCTCAACAAACTACGGCTGTCCTCCATTACTGTCACGCCGCTGCACATGTACACTGTAACCTGACACAGCCCGAACCACCTGCTTGTGGTTGTTGAAACCTTCGGCTTTCAGTTAGTATGTTTGTGACGTGATCTACTTTTTTAGTTGTCTTTGTATTTTAGTTTCAATTTGAGTTTATTTGTCGTCCTGTGAATGTACGTTGAGACCAGAGTGAAAACTGGAACAATTAAAAAAAAAAAGAAGCTGATTCTGATTCAAACCATGTCTTACGAAAATGCTAGCCCTTATTTTTTAGTCCGTTTTTACTCACAGAACTTGTATAACTGCTGGGCGGTTTGTGGACTGATGTTCTTAGATTACGGCCGTTGCCATGTTGTATTTTTTGGCAACAAAGGAACAAAAGTTACCTTATTTCAGATGGTACCTGGGTACCCGGGAGGATGCAGAGACGATACGGCTCTGGTAGTAGCAACAACCTGTCGATCACAGTAAGTCCCGCCCTAAAGTGTCTGTTTGACTCTACATGGACCATAATTCACTAAATGAACATCATGCTGTAATGAAGAAGACTTGAACCTAGAGATTGAGACCATAAACTTATGTTTACAATGTTTACTGAGGGAATAAATAGAGAGAGAAGTGGAGTCATTTTCTCATAGACGTCTATGGGACCAGAGGAGTCGCCCCCTGCTGGTCAGGAAAGATAATTCAGGTCTTATGACAAAGCAGCAGCCTCACTGGGCGTATCGCGTGTAAAACTTCGACCCTCAGAAGGCCTTCCATTCACGAAACAAACAAACCAGACATGAATTGGACCGTACAATTGAGAATGCAACTACAGAGAATGCAGCTTTAACTCACAAATGATCGGATTCACTCGGCAGAACCTGAGGTTGCCGCCTGGTTTTACTACAAAAGTCCAGCAACACGTGTGAATATTGTGCTCCTTACATGGAAACTTACTGAGTAAAAGGCCGTGGTTTGGGATTAAAGTAACGCCGTAAGTCGCATTACAACGGTGCAACAGTGTCGTTTGTGCCTGCCAAACATGAGAGCAGCGATAACTGTGTACAGATTAAATACAAAACTCCTCTTGGTTCAAAAGAACTGGTTTTTAACGTTAGAAATATTACAAGAATGCGGCAGAATATTCGCGGTGACGCTCCGGGCCTCTCGTGTAATCAAGACTTGATTACGCTGAATTCACTTTTTTTTTAAATAGCATCGCTTCAGACTGACGTACTGAGATGCATTTGCTCTCAGTACGTCAGTCTCTGATGCTCTCTTTCTGGAGAAATATCATTCAAGAACTGTACAAAAACTGTGACGCCCCAACATGTAGCAGCTCTTCTACCATCACATGGATCGTATGCAAATCCTGCAGGGACGCTCGGCTGAGGCAACATTACAGTAATTACAGTGTTTCGGCACCACGGAGGCTTTCAGAGGAGTCTTGACATGGCTCTGTGTGTGTGTGTGTGTGTGTGTGTGTGTGTGTGCGTGCGCGCGCAGTGCTGTTTAATTAGAGCACTTGGTCTCAGGAGGATCAGACCTGGAAGACTTCTGTCTCTGCTACGTGACAGCCAGGTGGCGGATTGTGTGTGTGAGTGTGATTGTGTGTGTGAGTCTGATAAGTTGGTGGCAGTGAGAAGAGCCAGACATAAACAAACACAGATGGGCAAAGCACAGAGGGACACGAATACCAGTAAATGTGAGATAGCAGAGCCCGTAACCCAAAACAACACTAAAGCTGTATGACACGGCCCCTCTCTTGTGATCATGTGAACAGTTGGAATCGGGAACATGTGATCAGGGAAAAAGAAAACAGCGTATCGGAGCAGGGATTTAAAAAGGAGCACATGTGTTTCTTCAGCGTGTATTTGCTTGCTGAGGATAAGACCTGCGAGAGAACCTGCTGCTGAGAACTGCACAGTCAAAGCCTCTGCCCTTCCTCCTCCTCCTCCTCCTCCTCCTGCTGTCATTGGTTCGGGACTTATTTGAGCCCTCACGTGGTTTAGTGAATTCAAGCCACTGAGGATCCCTCAACCGGGCAAACGGCCAAGCTCATGTTAAGATTTTGGTCTTAAGTACATTCCTGCACTCTTGCTGCGGCACCAAAAATGTAGTTGATGCATTAAAATGGTATCAAAACTGATATTAAAACCCGGGAAATACCACAAGTCCGGTGCACGCGAGCAGAGTGCAGAGAAATATGATGAGGCTGAAAAGAAAACCACAACAGAAGTAAAACCAGGAAGAAGAGTACAAAAACAAAAATAAAGCATGCACAATGTGCATATCATGTTACTGAGCGGTGCAGATGCTTTAGCAGCATGAAAACACCCATAATCCTTTGGGACAACTACAAAGCCAAACAGACCGGAGGAATTATTTCGGAAAGACAAGGGGGGATAAACACAGAACCTGGCAACCGTGGTGGGCATGTTGCAACTCTTTTCAAAGTTCACTTCAGAGAGCAGGAAAGAGCAAATAAGCTTGAAAAAAAAAAGGCAAAAAGTTGTGCGTCCAGCCCTCAACGATAACAGCTCCTGAGGACTCCAATGGCACCGGCACGTAGGCAAACTTACAGGTTCCCACCAGTAACATACCAGCACAGCGGCACACACCGCCCAACCGGCACAACAGCAAATAAGGACAAATTCCTGTCGACTGAACGCGGCCGTTGCATAAAGAGGATGAAGCTGCACCGGGTTTCTGTTCTGCATAAACGTGTGCAGTGCAATAAGTCAGAGCCCTGCAGCTCATCCCACGCCAGAATTATCATACGACCACATATCTTTCATTTGCACTACGTTTCTCCAAAATATAATGCCCTTGGGCGCATGGAGAGTCACTTGTTATTCAGTCTGTTTTCTTCCCCAGCATACTGTGGGACACCTGTCTTTAGCTACAATAGGATTACATATTCATTTTTTTCCAAATTAAAAAAAGTTTTTTCTGCTTTTCTGCTATTTGCTGTATTTTTTTTATAACTCTTTTCATAAAGATATATATATATATACAAGTATTTTTATATATGTATTTGTTATACTCTTCACATCATTGCTGAGCAACAAACTGTCAAGTTGACAGTTGAGTGATCGCAAACGGAACCGGAAATCGGTCGATGCACTTTTCAAATTAAATGCAAACCACTTAAAGTGTAGAGTCTGATATCGCTATTACCGAAACTGTTGTTATAAATACCGACTGGTTGTTATAACTACTAATGACCTGCTTTTCGCTGATTTACCTCTATGAGGGATATTACGTTACATATGATTTAGCTAGATTTAGAAGAGATTGTTTGACAGCCTAAAGCAATACAGCTGCACTGTAGTACAGATGAAACGTCATCTATTTAATCATCCACCAATACGAATGTAATATATGACATCGTCAATTTAAAATAAGTGAACAATCAATATCGATTGGTGTTTTATTTTGAAAGAACGGGGCTACGTTTATTCCACTTGAGTCGGTGGAGGTTGAGGTCCGAGCCGGTAACGACCGGGAATAAGTCGATTAAAACCCCGTGAAACGACGCCATGTCCGACACGGTGCCACGGCGTGTGACGCGAACCGCTGAAGCGAAGCGAGGCTTCCGACGGCCGCCGTCCGCGAACTACTTTAACCGAGAGGAACGTCCCCGGCGGAGCAGGAAGAGCTTCTCATTTTAACGGCTAACCGTCAAAAGTTAAAACGGCCAAATCCCGTTAGGTCATCTTGACGCTGCGTGTTCGGCCACGTTAAACAAACGTTTACTTTGCGTGTAACAAAACAAACAAAACTAAAGCAGAAAGCAGCATTTTTTTAAACTCCCGGCAGTTTTATTTAACGTGGAACCAAACCCCGCACGGTGAGAACCGGGGCGGGGGGGGTCTGGTCCCCGGGACGGAACTACTTGACCCGGTGGGACCGTGTTTCCGTAGCGCCGCGCGAGGGTCGTCCCGGTACCGTCAGCTCGGTGCGGACACTTTACGGGAGCCCCCCCCCCTCCAGGAAGCGATGTCTGTGGGGAGGAAGGGGGGGGGGGGGGGTCCGAAGGAGGTGGCGGGGGGGGGGGGACTCACCTGAGAGTTGAGGAAGAAGAAGCCGCCATGGAGGTGCGGCGGGGACGAGAGGCGTCGGTCAGCGGGACGGAGCGGCGTCCAGGGCCGGAGCCGCCATGTTCCCTCTGGCTCAGAGGCTCCTCGGCTGCTTCTCTTTACCAGGAGACCCCCCCTCCTCCTCCTCCACCTCCTCCTCCCCCTCCTCCCCCCTCCCTCTCCATCACCACCCTCATTACCGTCGCTCCCCCAACCAGCGCACACTTTTACCGGATTAAACATTAGTAACACGTTATACTTTTACGGTGTTGAGTCGAAAAGGGGAGAACAGGACGAATAATAGAATCTGTTCCCACTTGTTAATTACACAGTTTTAGGGTTTTCATTTCTCCTTTGAATGCACATTTTCTTGTATATTCCCCCAAAACATAATCGAGGTCTGGGCGATTTTAACTAGTTTATTACTAAAACAATCAATAAAAATACTGCAAAACGTCAGATTTTCCCAACAACAGTTATCAGCCATCTCTGATCCTATTTTATAATAAATATCAACACATTGGCTGCATGATTCATGCAGTTTCTTATGTAGAACAGCCTAAAAATGTCTCCTTCTGTTTCAATAGATGACACAAAAAAGCCCCAAACAGTCAGATCACATCACAGCTGAAAGCAGATAAAAAAGGGGGGGGGGGTCGACCACAGGTCAAACATTCATGCCGCACATCTGATTCTTTTTTGTGGTGACCTTTTTTTTGTTGAGATATGAACCAATACTACAATTTGACGATCTTCTCATAACAATCACAATAATTATTGTGTAAAGATCATAAAAAAACACCACAGCATCTGATATTTTTTAGCAATCCTGAGAGAATTTACAATTTTATTTAAATATATACAAAATGTTTGCAACGTTTGACATTTGTTGTGATATTTTATAATAATTCAGTGTTGAAAGTTCTGCCCTTTAACAGTGATCTAGCAGAGAGCGCCCCCTGGTGGCTCCAACACTCGTGTTCAACATCCAAGGCTGAGAGAGACGGAGAGGCCAATAAACATTCTATTAAAGTGTAGGAAGAAGATAGAAATTTAGCTCATTGAGGAAAAAGCACCACGGTGTCATTTATAGAGACCATAAACATCATGGTTACGTCATGTGATCAACCTCTGATTGGTCAGTTTTGGGGGTCTTCTTCACAGGTTGCTCCTCCATTTGGTGATCGGTGAAGATTCGCCCTCTGAAGAAAAAGAAAAAAATCAAGTCAAATACCCTGAATCCCAAATCAATCGTCATGGACCAATAACGAGACAACGCAGACGAGCCATTTAAAACTGCTTAATCATTGACCAGTAAAGCTACTGGAGGAACGGTGACCTTTGACCTTTGCAGTAATGATCACAGTGTCTCACAGTCTGCTCCTCTCAGTCCTAGTTCTGGTTCTAGCACTAACCTAGACTAACCTAACCCCCCCAGTGTCTCTTACCCAGGCTGATGCTGCCCTCTTTCTCCAGCTTCTTCAGGTGATGGACCAGGTTCACATCCGCCGCCGGGTGCAGGTACTCTGGGGTGTCCTGGAGGGGGGAGAGGGGTGGGGGCAGGGATAGAGGGGCGCTTGATTATCGCACCAATATTATACACTGCGACATATTCCTACTTCCCCAACAGGCGCCTCCTCTCGACTACGACTCCTGTGATTGCTTCCAGGTAGCGCATTCCCTGCTCACTTCCACACGTTCACCTTAGTTTAAGTATCACAGTAAGAAATAATGAATAATACAATGCCGGATTAGTGCCGACCTTGTAGACGAGCTTGACGAGCTCCATCGAGGAGAAAGGCTTTCCCGCTCCGGCCCGGATGGCTTCCAGGATCTGGTGCTCTCTCCGCTCCCGGTGGTCGATGTAGTGTCGGATCTTAGAGGCGGCGTCCTGAACCACGGGTCCGTGACCTGCACGGAGAACAGCGTCCCGATGACATCACACGGAACGTTGGAGCCACTGACGGAGACTTCTACGTCAGGAGGCCGGCCGGAGTACGGCCACAACTTTAAGGTGGTAAAAACTTTATTTTGCATTTCATCTTCAGTTGAAACCGTACGTGTTTCCTACTTCGGTTGGTCGGGGTTCGGCTTGACTTGTTTTTATTGACAGGAGGCAAATTCACTACAAGGAAGTAGTTCTTTAATATATATTTTCATTTTTCAATTATTTTGAAAAAAAAACTACAATGACAATAATCAAAATTGCAGCGCGAACAATCATTTCTATATAAATAAAATGTCACAAAAAATGTGTGAAACTATTTTCCCTCAAAGCCTGAAAACACTTGATCCAGAGATGAGTTGAAGGAACGCGTGCTCACCAGGGTAGATGACGTCGGCCTGAGAGTCCAGCAGCACCTGCAGGGACCTCATGTAGTCGTGGAGGTCCTCGAACACGGCCGTGCCCTCGCCCAGGACGCAGTCTCCGGAGAAGAGCGCCCGCTCCTCCTCCAGCAGCAGCGCCATGTGGTCGTCCGTGTGGCCCGGTGTGAACAGCACTCTGGGGAAAAATAAGATGTATATGCATAAATGAAGTGTAAATGTGCCCTCGTTATACATCCAACGTGCACGCGGACCGACTTGAGCGTGGCGCCCTCCGTGAGGACAACGTCTCCGTCCTTCAGGTAGGTGAAGCTTTGGCCTCCGGCCGTCTCTGCGACCGGGTTGGCGCGAGGCAGTTTGCTGACTCGGATCTCGGAGCCTGCGGGAGGGAAAACAGAGAGGAGATGAACTGGTTTTAGTTATTATTTCAAATGTTCTGACTGTTATGGATCTTCGAGTGTACGAACGTGACAACGAGACCCTGAGAGAGTTCGGAAAGGACTCCACACCGATTCCAGCAGTTCAAATTGTAAGGAACAGTCCTCATTAGCATGTCATTTCTGGTGTTACGGACACGCGGTCCTCACCGGTGACGTTCCTGCAGATGTCCTCCACGCCGCCCGTGTGGTCGCGGTGCCAGTGAGTGACCACGATCTCCTGGATGCCGGCGTTGAACTGACTGAGGGCCTGTTTCAGAGCGCTGATGTACTCGGGCACGGCGGGTTCTCCGGTGTCGATCAGCACGCGCCTGGAACGATAATCACACGTCGTACAGCTTCAGGGCTTTAACGAGAACCTGCATACAGACAAGCATCCTTTGTTAACCTCTCGGAGGTTTATCACCTTTTACTTCATCTCGCTCACAGAAAAGGTTTTAGAAGGAAATGTTATGTTTCAGTTCTTCTTATGAATGGAATAATCTGCAAAAGGCCAAGTTGGACTCTGCCGCCACTATGGCTGTTCAAAGGATTTTTATTATCTTTTCCATAGAACGTTATATAGTAACAGTCCAACAAACATTTGACTGGCGCACACACACACACACGCACGGGTTTACGTATTTTAACGAAACCACACACTTGTATAACTTTCAGACTGCTAAACATCGGAATATATCAATCAATCTATCAGCCAATTGGCTTTGAATAACGTCGAGATGACCTGTGCACGATGTTTTCCACCCAACCGTCATGTTTTTTTTTGTTGTTTTTATATAGTTTATAGTTAAAAAAAATAGATACATCTATTGTTTTTTTATTTATTTTAAAGCTACCAAAGTGAGCTCCGTTTGACGAACACAGCGAACGTGAAACGTCACCGGGAGTCACCTTCGGCCGGTTCCGACCAGGTAGGTGTTGGTCCCCTGCAGGGTCATCGGGCCCGGGTTGCAGCCCAGAACCCGAACCACCCGGGCGGACAGCTGCTCGATCCGAGGAATCACCGCACTCATGGCTGCAGGCGAAGCAACGCTGGATTACGAGAGGAGCGGGAGCTAAAGTGGAAGTCAACCCGGAAATGGGACGGAAACTGCGCGCCGATGGACTGTGTTTACTTCCTGTTCTGTCCCAAAGGAGCCGTCAAAGTAAAAGATTCTATTTTACAACGTTACTTCGGCGGGATTACTGGTTTTATTTGGTTTTAATTCACGTGGTTTTTAAACTAGTAACTCTGTTATTTCTTAAACTGACACAAAACAAAGCTTAACGACTAGTAACAGGCCAAATACAATACAAATTTCTTTGTATTTTAATCACTTTTTTCAGAACGTTAAAATATTTTAACATATTAGGATTTCTTCATCATATTGAATTAAATACTGCAATTAGGAATTAGGAGTTTTCATCCATCGGTCCATCCATACTCTTTACTATACTTTTTGTTTCTGTGTCAAATTGGATCCTGTCAGGTGATCAGTGGTGCATTGCTCTGGATATATTGTATATGTATGTATATGTGTATATACATATTTATAACTGACTTTCTATGTCTTATCCAAGCATTTATACCGAGGTTCACTGCTTAAACCAGCGTCCCTTGGTATATAAATAGCTGTATCACTTGCGTTCACATGCACGTGCACAAACCCTCTCTCTAACATCCCCTTCACAATACTTATATATCAATTATCTTTACAGTTTCTTAAAATAAATGAATGCATTGAATAAGTGCCCCCTTCAAAAAGCCAACGCTGCTCCGACCGGGCTGGTGGCAGTTGAACGGGCCCATTACAGGACATTTACTGAATATCTGTCACAATAAATGTCCGGTGAACGCACATAAATGTCAGCAGCACAGAGCCAACAGTAGGTGGCGCCATCGTACAGTAGGATTGAGGCTGAATCAAACATGGTCATGATGATGATGCTCAACATGTCTTCCCGGTTTGACTTTCAGAGGCAACTGTTTTGATGACGGCTGTCCTCAATTTAAGTGTTTTTTTACCAACTGGATGTTGTTGCTCTACTGACCTGATAAAAATACAACAATATTCCCACATCTTTCTATAATTACCATCCAAGTATTTAAGCGTACTGAGCAGCCTACTCTTTAGCTTATCCGACTGTAGCTATTGTTCATTTCCTTTTTGGGGAAATTAACCCATTTTCCTATGAGCTTTTGGGACCAGAATAGAAAACATGTACATGTGTGTGTAGACCACATTTAAACCCGTACAGCATTTTATTTAAATGAAGTGTCCTCGACCAGAAAATGTGACTCCCACAAGTGGCACACACAAGTAATAAAGAAATCAAATTAGTAAATCCATTTCTTACAGCTGTGGACCCGCGTGGCACCAGACAGCCAGGATGCATGCTGGGTAGTGGAGTAGCTGCGTTAGCCTGTCTTCTGCTTGAGTGACATACTGAAAGTGAGGGCCGCTTCGGGTCCCCTGGGTGCCTGGTAGGCCACCGCCGAGTAAATATGTGCAAACCTCAAGGATGGAGATCATCGAAGAGGCTCCACCGCCTCCCCTTCACTTCCTCCAACGAGCATGGAGTCTCTTACTGCTGCACCGTAGTTCCCCAACGTAGCGCAGCAATAACCGCAGTACTCGGGGATGATCTTCTCAGCACGCCTTACATTAAGTTGAACCCATTAGTCCCCCCCCGAGCGGCCGGTAATCCCCCCAACGCCTCGTCGGATATCCGTCTCCCGTGAATCGCGGCACATAGAAGAAGGTGAGTGAAAGAGGGGATAATTCGGCTGTGTAATATTTACAGGTAGAAAAGGTGGAGGGGGGCGCAGAGGCCTTATTTTCCCTAAATTAAATAGATCCTGACACCTGGGCGTCCGAGGCCCCCCCCTCCTCTCTCTTTGTAATTACACGACATAATGGCGGTGCAGTCGGCTCGTAATCTCCCGTTATAATCAGTCTCTCCACCACGGATTCTAATTCAATATAAATGTAAATGACTGGGCGGAGGGGGAACAGTACGGTGTGTAAATGTTGAGTCTGATCTCCACACACATCCGTATACATATATTTACCAGGTCTTGATGATGATGACATGGTAACGTAGCATTTAACCACATTCAACCTAACCAAGCGCTTAACCATCGCGTCCACAACAAGAGCATTTATGACAACTCGTGGTTTTATTCTCACGGGTTTTGACATATTTCCCTCGAGGATTGACCCGGATGTAGTGGCTGCGATTGGCTAATTGAGCGCTAACCCCGCCCCCCTGGAAACACACTAGCCAATTAGAGCGTAGCCTCAGCTAGCTCCGACCAGGGTCTGACGGCTAAGCCTTAGGAATCTTTGCAAGTGCAAACACAAGTTGTTTTTTCATTGTCACAGCTTGTTCCGTGCAAAATAAAAAAGTTATAAATAATCAAACATGACACGTCATTAAAGATCCTGCCAAGTGAGGATTACTGACTGTAAAAAGCCAATTTTTCTTCCATAATTAGTATATTTTCATATTGCGTTTCTCTGTCGCGTGAGCTTCAACAGAAGATGATGTCAAGTTCATTTCAAATTCAGCACCGAACCTTTGATACCTGCAGAGAAAGTGAAAAGTCTCATCGCAGCCGCGGTCTGCGCTGAGGAATGAGGCAATATGTTACCAAACTCCACCGCAATTCATAATTCAAAATGCAGCGTAATTAACTTTCTTCTCCGGAGCATTAATGTGATTCCAAATTAAATAAGTGGAGGGACAGAGAGAGGGGGGAGAGAGAGGGGGGATATCAATTTAGAAGACGAGTGAGTAAGTATGTAAGAGACGAGGAGCAGCGGTGGTGAAGAGAGAGGGAGAACAGATTAGAGAACACTGATGAAAGCACAAAGGGACATTTCGTTAACGGAACTTTCAATTCTGTTGTTGTCTCCTGCGGAACGAACCGAAGCATTCGAGGCTTTAAAGAAACAAAAAGAGGGCAGAGTGATCGCGACAGAAGGCTGTTCCCGTCGGTCATGTTTTGATGGAAATCTCAGAACGACTTGGTTGCGTTTAGTTCAGGTGGAGGCCTCGTTGGACCGCGGCCTTCCTCCCACAGTCCGTATGAACAACTCCTTGAAAAGGTCGGCGTTGGGATATTTGTTTACGTCCCTAAAAGCGTGTTGAGATCCAGGTTTGTTTCCCCGTGTAACCAGAAATGTGGGCTTTTATTCTCAAAAAGGCTTTATTCAGAGAATCCAATCACGTCTACATGAGCCATAATTCTAAATACAGTCACAATTACAGAAAAGAGTCAGAGGTGCAGCTTCATTCTGTGAGACGTGGTCCCCGCCAACGGGGCCCAGGGAAACACTGAAGATCTCCGGGAACTGACACCTCATGTCAGATCGGGATGAAGCCGGACAGGTGAGAGACACAGAGAGACACAAGGGTGGGGGCAGCAAATCAAGGTTAACGAATGGAACAACATGAGGTGGTTGTGTGTCGGGACGTTGACTCGGATGCACACGCGGGGCGCTCTGGATCCACGGGGGAGGTCAGAGGTCATCTGGTTCTAAGGTCACTAAATCTACATTCTGTCCTTTTTTCCATTTCACTGAGCTGATACAGGATCAGTGCAACGCGTCTCCACACGCCGACAAACACAGCACTTTCGCCCCAGGAGACAACACAAAATACAGACTGTGTGTTTGTCTTAAAGCTTTTATCACAACGTGATTTACTCGTCCACTCGCGTCCCACTAGAAGGTTTTCTCCATGTACACAACCGGGGGAGGAATTCATCGCCCCGTTGTCTCGCAGGAATGTGTCTCCATCTCCGGGCATCATCTCATCTCATTTGTTTCACCTCTCTCCCCTCTGAATATCACATCCAGACAACACGGCATCACTTTCAAATGGCACGGCAGGACATTTGCAATTCAGATTCAAATCGCCTCGGCGAGGGGAAAAAAAACAACAACCTTTAAATATTAAATATCCAAAAGTCCAAACGTGATCCTGGCTGATTGGGTGTCATGTCAACAGCGAGTTCCCTTTAATTACCCATTCAAAGTGCGTGGTGCGTTCGCTCGCCGAGTCGGGTCTTTATTTCTCTTTTTTTCCGGATCGCCTGTCGAAGGGACTCGCCGCTTTCTGATCTTGATCTAAATGAGCCGCGTGCCTTTTCTGCTTGTCTACACGTTTTAATGGCGTCCGCCTGCGCATGCAAACACACTTTTATTTAAAGAACAGACATGCGAGCCCGTGCGGCTGAAGGTCCGTCCTCTGAAGAGCCTGATGAGAAGGAATTGCTGCTTGCATGTACGGATGTCGCCGATGAGAATCCCTTGCTTTGTGGTTTGTTACCTGTCAATCAGCGTGTAGCCCCGCCCTAAAGTATCCCCTGCTGGTCTGTTTGACCCTAAATGGACCATAATTCACTAAATGGACATCATGCTGTATTGAAGAAGACTTGAAACTAGAGATTGAGACCATAAACTCATGTTTACAATGTTTACTGAGGGAATAGATCAAGAGAAGTAGCATCATTTTCTCATAGACGTCTACGGGACCAAAGTTGTCGCCCCCTGCGGGTCACTACAAATGATGTGCGATGGCTGGCGCATGCGTCTGCGTCGTTGCGTCGACGCACTCGTTTCAATTCATGGTTCTTAAAAGTCTTGCGTGTGTTGCAGAGCAATTCACCTCCAGAACAACAGGCGGAGTGGCGTGTTTTTGTGTGTGGAAGTCGTTTGTTGGTCTATTTATTTATTATAGACTTTATTGCCCCGTGCATCGCCGGACACATTTGTCCCGTATTTTCCTCCAGAACTTTGTGCACCTCTCGACCGGCAAACCGGCGTTTGCAGAGATCTCCCTCCGTGAATCAGAGGCCATGACGGCTTGTATAAGCAGTCATATTTACGCATTTCTTCCGACAAAAGCTCTTCAATCTGATCCATTCTCTCGTAAACATTCTTCGTTTTAATAATGGCGCTATCGGGCTGTGAAAGCGGAAAATGTGAGACTCCGTAAAGGACGTAGAGTCCACATTTACTGCGACAGGAAAGAAGAGGAAATCAGAAATGATTCCCCTGGATTTTCATCATCCAACCAGCCCCCAGAATCACATAACAAACAGAGCT